CCGAGTTACCTGCATCCCCGTCGCGTCCCTGCGTCCCTCGAGCGCAGAAAATTATGAAGATCGACCGATCATCAGGTCCGACCAAATTACCGGGCGACGTCGCGATTTAATAATTATCCAGCGAGACGCGTACGTGTTTTTCCAGCGTGCAGATCCCCTATCTACGGCCGCGTTGATAACTCGGACGAGGCGGCGACTACGCCTCGGCAATACGCTCCTCGTTATTTAATTGTATAATTATAATACGCGGGACCCGCTGACGGCTGTATTAACCGGCCAGCGGCCGCGGGCTTATTCCGTGGCTAGATCGCAGGCGATTAATTGGGAGTGGCGCGGGGTAATTAGAAATTATCCCGATAAGCGGGTTACAACGGGACCGTTCGGCGGAGGGAACGGTTTTTCCAGGGGGATTCTCGGCCGTCGCGTACCCGCCGGCTCGGATGCGTGTCGAGCGAACCCGTGTGACCGGGGAAATTCAGGTGAAACACCGGAATCGAGTGGAAATTACCGCGTAACTGTTATCTAAACGAGGAAGTGACGGCGCGGGGAGACAGAAAATAATCGCCTGGACAAGCCCTTCCGAGCCGGGGACGGGATCGTCGGGACTTGATTGGGATTCCTCGCGCAATTTTTTCAAGCAACTCTCCCGGCGAGTTCTGGAGGTGGTTACACGGGTTGCTCCGGAGGAGGTGGGCTGCGCGGAAATTTATTGCGCGCATTGTTATTTTTAGCGCAACGACTCGATGGAAATTCTAGAAATTCTTTCGGCGAGCACGCGACTTCAGCTGACCGTGGCGGCAGATTTTCCGCGCATAAAAATAGCTCGCGGTTGATTAATAGGCTGTAGATGAATTAATTACGCTCGCATGATAATAGGGAAAACTATTTATTGTCTTTCACGGTTCTATAACAACCGGTGCTTGAAAGGAACTAATTACGGCGAGTGTATTCGATCTGTATCAGGAGTATTTTAAATGAATACAAATGCCTCGGGGGGTCATCAGTCACACGCAACCGGCTAGATTCAATGATTAAAGCCTACCAACTTATTAAGGTGTTGTGGCGTATGGTGTTATCTTTAAATAACACGAATAATACGCGCATTTGTCATGGAGCAACCGCAAATAAACGATAAAACGTTCGTCGCGAACTGTAGCCTGCGACCTTGATCCTGCCGCAATTATCGCTGGTCGCGCGCATGGTTGGACGTTAACACGAGTCTTCCACGCGATGCGAGCGAGCATAATGAACCGCGGTGCGCGATCCGTTTCTTCAAATTCGATTCGATCCGTTCGAAAGCCGGCCGAAGGTGTTATTCGGCGCGACGAGACGCGACGGTTCCACGGCGATTTTTCGAAGCGCCGCGCGACGAAGCCTGCCACCTTCAGACATAAAGTTGCAAACGTCGCCAGTGCCTCGGGCTAAAGAGCCGGGTCGAGGGTTTTAGCAAGTTCTCCGGTTACCCAGGTAGCGGGGAAGCCGGCGGCCATTCGGGGACGTAAATCCGGGCTACCGTTTCGTCCCTGAGGAGATCGCACGATCTACGCCGCGATGTAATAAAGCCGAGCCGAGGCTAGCCGCGCGATCGCGGATCGGCCGAGCGGTAGCGAGGATCTATCCTCGCCAGAAATGAGGGTCGAGGACAAAGAGGGACGCGTCGGGGCGCGTCTCGTCCGAGAGAGCAGCTCCGGACGCGTCCGAAAACGCTGGGAATTCCAGAAACGTGCTTTCATCGCCGGCCACCAGCTGGAAGAGGAAACGGCTTCGAGAACTCGCGACCGAACGGGAGACGAACGAGGAGGGTCGAGGAGAAGGAAGAAGAAGACGAAGAAGAAGAAGGAGAAGAAGGAGAAGAAGGAGAAGAAGGAGAAGAGGACGGAGGACCGAGCGGCCAATGAATAAACAGAGAAGGAAAGAAGAAGAAATCGTCCAACGCAGGATTTATCGAGGAGACACCTGAATCCTCCCGGAATCTCGTAGCCGTTAAAAAGATCGGCTATCCTGTCGGCCGCGCGGAGGCCATGGGTGCTTGGTGGTCGCGAATTTTATGCAGATGCCGTGGGATCCTGTAAACATCGCGAGCGCCGGAGCGGGACAGACGGATGGCTGTTGGTCGAGGTCAGGCCGAGAGGCCAGGTCCAGATCGGTAGTTCACCACCCAGCCTAATGGCAATTAAATATCCCCGCGCTAATTGGCAATTATAGGCCACGGGTGTCGAGGATGTCTTTCTTTCTCTCTCCGCCTTCTCTCCCGTGTTCTCTCCTCGAGTCGCGTCTTCTCCGTGGAGAAAGAGGAGGAACGGTGGGCGAAAAAAGAGCAAGCCCGCCAGGTAGGTGCAACAAGAGGCGCTCTCCCGCGCGATCTGGAGCTTATACGTATACCTGGCTCCCTGTACCCGGGAGGACGGGACCAGCGACGGGGCCGGGGGGAGGCTAACAGGCCCATCGAGATGGTCCTGGAGGGAGCTCGGGCAGGACGCGAGGCCCGCAGCGTTATAAGCGTCCAGGCCACGAGGCCCGAAAGGTCCCCGGCGGCGGAGGGAAGGGCTGGGAGAGGCCGAGGTGACGACAGCGAAAACTAGTTTATTTGGGACGCGGCTATAAATTAGGATCAGATCGCCACGCGATAAGAGTACCGGCTAACACCCGGTTCCCTTCGAAAGAGCGGCCGTCTCTCTCGCGCGCTCGCTCTCTTTCTCTCGCTCCCTTACTCTCGACTTCTTTCAGCTGGCAACCTACGAAACGAGGCGACGAGCCGCGCTCATCTTCTTCTCCTCGTCGCACCTCTGACCGAGCCTCGTCCCGACGCTTCTCTCGCCTCCGCCTCGGCCGAAGGAGTCGAGAGACAGTTGGATGGTTCCTATGAAACGGCCGATGTGACGCTAATTAGCGTAGTTTCGTGCCCTGCTCCGGAGCAGCCGCGTAGAATATGAACGATGGCGGATCTCGACCGGGACTCCTCGAGCGTATCATCCGGATTTAAATGACTCGACTGGACGCGACCGTCCGGCGAATGGTAGTCGATGTTTTATTCCTTGCCATCGAGAGAGCCCGGATCGCGCGACTAGCTTTTCACCGCTGGCATTACCGGAGTTTAGTTCCGTGCGATTTCTGGCGGATCGAGAGTTTAATCGGTCCGGAATATATATTCCGGCTCGGGAAAGTTCGACGAGGTTCGAGGCTCGTTCGCGCGGAATTTATACGGCGACCGACGCTTTCGGGGACACCTTAATTGATCCGAATTTACGGAATTTGGGAATTATTCGCGGGTGTCGGGGCTAATCGGCTGCTCGCGGCGGCGCGGCGGAATTATCGACGAGGACGGACGCCGGGGATCGCCGCCGCGAAACGTAATCAAGCGATCTCGTCAACCGAAGATTCGGATCTATAACGGCGTGTGTCTTTTCGAAAAAAACTGGTCCCGGCTTGTTTACACCGTCGCGGAATCAGATAGCCTTGGATGTGCGCGACGAAAGGAGCGATGAGAAGAAAAAAAAATGAAAAAGCGGGACGGAGAGGGTGAGAAACCAAGCGGAGAGACGAGGAGAGGAGAATCGGAGTAGAAAAGCCCCGAGAGATGAATCTGGCGAATCGTTTGTAAGGAAACGAGGGAACAACCGTTTCAAGATTCCCCCCTTCTGTCACCGTGGCCGTGAATGGAATGAAGTCTCGGCGTCCTGAAGCCGATTTAACGATCGCTCGACTGCTACGGATAACCACTTTTCCATCTCCCGTCGCCGGGTTTTCTTTTTATTCGAGAGTTCCGTGGTATTAGGCGACACGTTCGGATTCGATAACGCTCGCGGAAGTCGCCGTAACGTGATTTCCCAGTGTCGCTCGCACTCCGAGTGCCTTCTGTTCCCAATGAAATCCGAAATCTCGGATTCGCCTCGACGTTCCGGCGGATTGATTCCAGGAGACCCTACGAATCCGACCGAAGGGGATCGACGATATCTCCATTACTCTACTCGATTCTTGAAACAACCGAGCAATTAACAAAAGCTTCTCGAGTCAACATTGGTACCGCGTACTTTTCCAAAGGTGACCCGGAAAGGTTCGGGAACCAGTCGGCCGCGCTGGGAATCGAAGGTGAACGCTTATCAGAGTTCTGGTCTCGAAGCGCGCGTTATTTTGCTGTTAATTCGAGCCCGGTGTCTCGAGAACGTGTCCCATTTGTGAGAGTACGCAAGTGGACCGGCGCGGCGTTCAGTCAGGAACGCGCGACAGGTTCAGGTGTGTCCGAGAGCGCGGTGTTCCGTGGCACACAGGCGCACACGTACGCGTTGCCGGAGCGCAGCGGGCCCGTGTGTAAGAGAAAGACGCGCTCGGCCAGCGGTGATTCCATTCACTGATTGAAATCTTCGTCCATTTGTCACTGTCAAGAAGGTGGCGATAGCCTCTCTTCTCTACCGTTCGCTCTCCCTCCTTCTCTTCCCGGCGCGTCATCTCTCCCTCGCTCCCGTCCCGCGCGGACTGCCCACACGCTGCTCAATACCCGATGCCATTATTATTTCAACGCGAGTCCGTGTGCCTAACGACCAATCGACGCGCCGGATATTAATTTCTTATCGATTTTCCCGTGCCGGGCCACTGATCGAGCGGCTCGTCGGAGCAGATCCGGAGCGTACCCGCCATTTTAACGATCCGCGGACGCGATTACGCGACGGTGCACACCCCGGGACGACGTCGTCCCCGCGAGCCAATAACAGCCCGCGCCGGTTCTCCCCGAGCGAAACCAATTATACACGGTATTAACGTTATCGGTATAATTATGATTTGTCACCGGCCGCGACTGGACGCGCCGGAATCCGGCCGACTTCTTTACCATTGGCACGGACCCGGTGATTCATCGGCGATATTTCTTCGACGCGAATATACGCTTGCTATTTGTAACCCGCTCGTGGATCAAGATCGCTGCGGGATCAGGTTTTCGGCGTGGCAAAAAATGGAATTTCGATTCGATGACGTGGTCGATCGGGTTGAACGAGTGTTACACTCACCTCGGGGGACGCGACGGTGATCCGACGTTGATCCACCGGGCCTTACACTGGCGAGACGAACCCACTGCCCATCGACTGTGACCTGGAACCATCGGATTCCAGTGTTATTCTCTTCTACGAGTTTCTAACTCGGTCATTCCAATGCTAATTTCCATGCAAACAATATCAATGTCTTTATATTAATACATTCCGGCCGATTCGGGCCTTCTTACTTTAACCAAATGAAACCTCCTTGTAAACGATACTCCTTCTCAACGAACAAACTATCAAACTGCCAGGATTTCGATACGAATGGTTCGCTTACCCTTTGTAGAACGGCTTAAACGCAGTGGTGGCCTCCGTGGCCGGTAGGCTGGCAGTGGTCTGGTGCTGATGCAGAATGGAGTTCTGCGCTGCCGGCGAGAAGTCCTTGTGCGGGGATGCCTGCAGCCTGGAGCTGAAGGACGACCCGCTGCTGGCGGAGCCGGAGCTCGTGGACAGGTAGCCGGTGGCGGCCGGGTGGCTAGCTCCGTACGGGTTAGGATTACCGTTGCTCGTCGCGTTGCCGTTGCCAGTGGTGCAGTAGCCAGCCGGTGGTGCCTGGATCACTCCATTCGGTGTAGCCACCTTCATGTTGGGCGGTGTCTGGGGTGGAGTGTCCGTACCAACCTCGGGAAACCCCGCCGCCGCCGAGGAGGACGCGCTCGATGTTGACCCGGACGAGGAGTTCGGGTTGTAGTGCAGCTGGCCGCCGGACGAGGACGACAGGAAGCCACCGTACCTCGTGGCGGCGCTCGAATACGGCGCGGTCGCGGCCGCGGAAGGGCTCATCGACGCGGAGGACGGTAACGCGAACGAGCTGAGGTTCCCTCCGCCGCCGCCGGCACCGGCGTTGCCGCCGCCGCCCGCGGAACCGAGCCAAGGTTGCTGGGAATGATGGTGGTGTCCTTGGTTCGCCAGGTGATGCTGCTGCTGGCCGTAGTGCTGTTGATGGTGCAGGTGGTGGTACTGTTGGTGGTGAGGGTGGGAAGGTGGCGGCGGCGTTTTGCAGGCGGCCGTGTCCGCCAGGGACCAAATCTTTGGCTTGGTCGCGGGTATCGGCACGCCGGCCGCGCTGCAGTCCGACTTGATGCCCTCGTCCTTCAGATGGTCCTCCCCGGCGTACCCTTGGTGATGGTGGTGATGGTGCTGCATCGCGTGATGAAAGGGATGCTCGGTCCGCCGTGGGTCCTCCTCGAGGTCCAGGTCGTCCTCGTCGTCCAGGTCCTTGTCGTGCTGCAAGTGCTCCGCTTTCACGTGCCTCATCGGCTCTGCAAACACACGGTCGCCGGCAATTTAGTAAATTGCGCTCGCCGGGGAGGCTTGATCTTGTAAAAGGCGTACGCTTCTTACGCAATTATCCTGCGGATAGACGTTCGACTGAGGTTTAGTACGTTTAGTGGAACCTAGGTGTTCTTTAATCCTAAAGATGTAGAGATTTTATTGGTGTAGAATCGACGAAAGTTTTCTAGAAGAAAGTCCCCTCTTTCGTTTCGCTCCAACGATTTTCTATGGGTTGAACGCGGTCTACGAGAACACACCGAATCGTTAAGGGTTAAACGCAGACGACGTGGAACGGGAAACGTTTTCCGCGAGGCTAATAGAAAATTCAGTACGGTCAAGGGTGGTGTATCGCGTTTCGTAGGTCTCGCGCACCCCCCGGGCGAACGTCAGAATTAATGGTTTATAATCCCTGGTGTGAAAGCGAGATCCACGCGAAAGTCGGTGTATCGGAGCTGCGAGGGATCGACCGGGCTGCCGGTGAAACGGTAGGAAGGAGTCTTTTCCCCTGCGTGGCCCCTTACACAGTTAAGCTGTAAGGGATGCTGTGAAAAAAAGGGAGCGGAGCCTTCAACCACTTTGAGGCGCGAGAGATTTTAGCTCCCCCTCGAGGCAGAGAGAGCCGGACGGGGGAGAATAGCGAAGCTGTATTCTCTTTCTCTCTTTCCCTCGGACGCACCCTCGTCTTTCTCTCTTTTGCTCTCCGTTTCTCTCTGGCGAGTCTCTCGGGGCGCTCTAGGATCGTCCCAAGCGTCTGCCAGCTAGCCAGCCAGCCAGCCATCGAGCCGAGCCAGCCAGTCAGTCAGGGGTGAGAATTTCATTAAGAGGTTCGAATGAGTCGGCAGAGGGTTTACTTGATGGGTCGTCAAGCGATAATTCCCAAGCTAGAAGGGGCGGCCAACCCCCGCGAGAAAGAGAGAGAGAGAGAGAGAGAGGCACGGCGAACGGGATGGACGAGACCGGGAAAAGAGAGAGCTGCAGGGAAACGGAGAGTTTAGGTTTAGGGTGCGCGCAACCCCCTTATAAAGGGAACCTTATGGGCCAACTAAATAGATACCACCGTCGAGTCCACAAGTGGCTCTTTAACTTTTGACCCCCTTTTATCAGACGTTAATCTCATAATCTTCGCGCTGGCCTGTATCTCCGCGTGGGATGCGAATTGCGCGGCTTAAATTTCCAAGTTTCGGGGTGCGCGTGCGATTCAACGGTACCGCAAGATCGCGTTTACATTCGCGAATAAGAAAAGCACCGGCGGCGTGCTCGAAAAACTGAACGGTACGCGTCGAGTGTATAGCTCGCCGGAGGACGGACCCCAGCAACCCTCGCGTACTCGTGAGCGTCTGAAGTGACCGCCCTCCGCCGGTCAACATGGAAATTCATGAGGGTTAAGAAAGCTCTTGAATTTGGTAAACCCCGGCAAAACCTGCCGCGTTACTCGGAGTGCTGTTGTCCGAGGTATTTTTAGCGACTCTCGTGATGAACGACTTCGGATCGAGACTCGATTGTAATACAATGAGACGCGATAAATATGAAACAATAAGATTTTCTATACTACTAAAATCCGCTCTCCCTCTCGACAAAGAGCATCGCTGTCCAACGAATTTAACGAACTTCTTCTCTACTCAACAGTCAACCGTCTTTTAAAACAATCGAACATAGGCAGCGAAAGACTGTTCCTCGATCCCATCGAACACAGCCTCCTCCCGAAACGCCATGAATAGCAGAAAAACTTCCACAGTCTAACCCAAGATCCTCCCCAACGGTCCCAGTCCCAATCCCCGGCAAGACCACCGAAAGCCCAGATATTCATACGCGATCACAAATCACGAGCCGTCCGTGCGAACACCAGCGACGCCGGAATAGAAAACAAATCGGTTTCGTGCGGGCTCCGGTCGTCTGGATTTTCAGAGGGCTTACTTCCGAGGCAGTCCTTTAAAATTACGAGGCATCGCGGGACGCGCGTCACGCAGCCCGACGCAACACCTAAATGTCCCGAATCGAAGGGGCCCCGGCTAAGGGATGGGAACAACGGAAAGAGCGAGGGAGAGAGAAAGAGGGAAAGGGAGAAAAGAGGACGGAGAGAGAGATGCACGCTCGGAGGAAGAGGAGCAACGGAGAGGAACGATATTGGCCAATGTGCGGTGGGGTAATGGTGGCCATAGGAGGGTCCGTACCATTCGTCTCGCCGCGGGCGCCGATACATCACCGTACCTCGAACCACCGGCTCTCCGCCGTGTATCTATATACATCCGTCCACCACGTGTATATACATTTATTTGTATGTGTACACCATATATATACACACGGAGCCCGTGGCACGGAGAGTATATGGTCCTACGGATGGCTACTCGGGCGCACCCTCTGCCTCTCGCAGAGAGAGAGAGAGAGACAAGCTCAGGGAGAGGAAGGTCCGCGCGCGCGCGAGATCGCCCGCGCGAGCGAGCGAGCGAGTCGCAGTGCACACACCCCACGGTGAAAGCGTCGGTTGCGCGCGAGCGTGTGGACGTGCGCGCGAGGCCACGTACCCACCAATACCCAGGAACCGGGCCGGTCCACCGGGGGACCAAACCGAAGGCCATTAATCTCTTCGCGCGGCAACCCGCAACCCGTCACTGTGTTTACCCACATGTGAACCATTATGTCCGCCTCCGCGATATAGACCCCGACACACGCAGCCCGGCCTCGCGAGCGAATTTCTAACTCGCCCGTTTCCGGCCGCTCGCCAAAACGCCTGAATAAGTAGCCTATCGAGCGATGGGAGAACCGACCGGCCGGCCGGTCGGCCGCTCGTCGCATGGGCGCGGCGATATTTCGGACGGCCGGGGAACGGCTGACTCCGTAATCGAATTTACCGGGACAAATTTACCGGATTGTGCCGGCCACTTTGCGAATCACCGCCCGGAAGGCGGAACGCGGCCACCTGGGCCTGACGCGAGACGAATAGGCTGCCCTCCGAAATGACGAGGACTTTCTTCTGACGGAGGAGGTTTATTTTAGGTGTTGAAGCT